TTATTTATTTTGAAATCATTTTTAAATGATTTTCAAATTATTTTGAAGTTATTTAAATTACTAAATTTTTTTAAGTTAATTTTAAGTTATTTAAAAGATTTTGAACTAAGTAAGCTGGCAAATGACACGTATTATTAAAATATTCATAAGGAGAACCTACATATGAGAGGTTCGCCTCCTCTTTTTTCTTATTTTATTTTCATATATTTGACATCTGAAAATAATTATACATGATATATGATGAACATAAAATATGAGATACACTTGAGTTCTTCTACACACATGAAACTTGAATTAAACTACTACAAATGAAGTAAAACATGAAGTTGAGTTAAGTTAAGTTCAAGTTAGATTAGACTCGAGCTAAGGATGAACTAAGGCCATGTTGAGTTAGGCTAGATAGAGTTAGGTTCACCTAAGGTTAGGTTCTGGTTAGGTCGTATTTGGGCTGGATTGGATTTAGGCTAGGTTGGCTTCGTACTAGGTAGAGTTCGAGCTAGGTTTGGTTTGGGCTAGTTGGGTTCGAGTTAGGTTTGGGTTCGGGCTAGGTTAGGTTAAAGCTCGGTTGTGTTAGAATAAGTTGGGTTTGGACTAGATTGGTTTCGGGCTAGATCAAGTTTGGGATACGTTGGGTTCATGCTAGGTTGGGTTCATTATAGTGGGGTTTAGGCTAGATTGGGTTTAAGGTAGGTTAGGTTTGGGCTAGGTTTGGGCTAGGTTGGGTTCGAGCTAGAGGTCAGGATCAAGCTAGGTCAGGTCGGAGTCGAGCTAGGTTAGGTTTTTCAATGCTAGGTCGTGTTCAAGATAAGGCTAGTTTAGGCTAGGATAGGTTCGGGTAAGGTCTGATTCAAGCTAGATCAGATTCGTGCTAGGTCGGGTTCAGGGCAAGTTCAAGTAAAAACCATCGTAGAGAAGCCTGGGCTAACTACTCAACCTCATCCCCATCCCTACCATATCAGGTGGCTCGAGAAGGGGGCTAAAATTAAAATCAATTGATAGGGCATGATGTCATTTTTGATTGCTCAGGAACTTTAAAAGCAGGTTTTATGTGATTTAATTATTATGAACTCTTATTACATATTGCTTGGTAGGCCTTGACAATATGATCGTGGTACAATTCAAAATGGGTATGCTAACACTTATTTTTTTGTCAAATAGGGAATTCAAACCACTTTAGTACACATGAAGGAGGAGATTCAAGGAAGTATTGAAATCAACACTTCTACTTCTTCATTACTTTTGAAAGATATTAAGAAGACAACTATGGGATACCTCTTGATCATAACCAAGAGTTTCAAACGGCTGCCAACAACTTCTTCTAAAGTGCGAGCATTAAGACAACAGTTCGAAGGCATTTTCTGCAGAATTGCCTGCTATAGAATTGCCTTCTATTGGAGATATATGATCCACCTGAAAATTACCTATTTTTAGTGTACATTTTATGATCATTTTATGTACATTTTTAATAATATTACAATTTACATGAAGGTTATTTGCATGTTTTTGTCTTCAGATACAAGAAATGGACTTTTAGCGAAAATGGAGCAAAAACTGTGTCATTTGGAGTCAAATCGAGCAAGGAAGAAAATTCTAATCTGGCACATTTTGATGTCTTTCTATGCTTAATCTCCTTTACATTTATCAAAATTTTTTGAATGAAATTATAATTTAAGGAAATGATATTTTCCATGTTTATTTTGTAGGTATATCAATTTTTAGCGCAACGGGGCTGAAATAGGGCGAAACGGAGTTAAACGGAGCAAAATGAGGCGAAACGATGGAGATGTCTGCAGGGTGGCGTCTAGGTGTCAATGACGACGAGAAAATGGCGCCTAAGCGCTTAAAATGGTTGGAGACAGTTTTGGACGACTTTTGGTGGTTATGGGATGTTTTGGAAGGTTCTGGATGCCTATGCACGCCCCTTGGAGTGGTTAAATGAATCTACACACTTGGAGTGGCTTTTGAATGAAGAGATATGTCTTTTGGAGTGAAAGGGTGTGTCTTTTGGATGAAGAGATGTGTCTCTTGGAGAAAGAAGGGGTAAATAGAGAGACTTGGCGTCTCTCATGACAAGGACTCTTGAGAAGAAAATAGAAAGTGTTTTAGGAGGAGTTTGGCGTGAGTTTATGGTGATGTAGATTTTTCCATTTACTAGAGAGATTGGTGAGGGATTTAGAGAGATATGAGTAAGAAAGTATGAGCGGCGCATGGACTAACATGAGACTTGTTGGAGGGATTTTTTGTCTTTCTTTCAGAGGCAAAAAACTAAATATTGTGTTCTTCATTATCTTGTGATTGTTATAAACACTTTTTAGTTGATTTTCTTTGATTTAAAAGAAGTTTTCTGTTGTGTTTTATCTATGTAGTAGTTTTCTTTACTCTGTTCTTTTAATATGAAGTAGTGGCATGTGTAGGAAAATTTGATTCATGATAGAATTTTTTTTATTTTCATGTGATGAGTAATATCGCATTCGCTTCATTAACATAACTTAAGTAACAATATGTTATGTTAAAATCTGTTGTAAGTGAAACTAAGACTCGGGAGAGCAGTGATCTCGCAACTAGAGTGCAGTGCACTCACTTGTCTGGTTAGCTATTGTGAAATAGTATGGGCGGCAATGCAACTTTTAAGGAAATATAATTCATTATTTGTTTCTATTAGAAGCTTCTAGGTGACAGATAGTTGCATAAAACTAATAGAATACTAAGCATACATATATGCTCGAAAGAGGGTAGATAGACATATGTTTCTTGTTGACACTTAGTTTATTACATAATTTTATTAATTCTTTTAATGCTTATGTCATTATCTTCATTTTACTTTTCTTTTGCAATGAATTAGATACATGTCTAAGAATTTAGAATTGCTTAGAAATTATCTTATTTTATAAATATGATGATATTTTTATCGGTCATTCTTTTACTCTACAAATTGGCCACTTGTATTGTTAAAACTTGTTGAGAAACTTATAGACGCGAAAAGGCTAAGATTTCTTAACTTGAAAGTATCACATCCTACCTTAGAAAGAGAAGTCGCGATCGTCCGAAAAGGGGTGCAAATAAATAGGGAGATAAAATTGAAGATTTTATGGGCGTAAAATTGATGTTTCTAGAGTGACAAACTAGATTTTTTTATCTTTCTAGAGTGACAAACTAGACGTAAAATTGATGTTTCTAGAGTGACAAACTAGATTTTTTTATCAATTTGGTCTATAGATTGGAACTAAGGGTAGATCTTATAGAGAGGGCACAGTGGGCAAACTAGGAGTGAGAGACTAGAACCTACCCAGCACTACTATACATATCGACACCAACTTTAGATTAGCTAATGTTATTTACATAATCAAAAGAAGTAAAGAATAGATATGCTCTTATTTGTCACTGCAACATTTCATTTTAAACATTTCATTTTTATACATTATCTAGGTCAACGCACGAGAAGGGTAGTCTTTAACATCTCGAAATTCTCCGAAACAATTAATCCAGATAAGTTATCTTTAGAATTAACATTTGCATTTAGAAATAGTTGTTATCCTTACATTTAATATTTGCATTTAGGAGTGGTTGCTAGATAAAAACACCATCTTAATTGATCTTCCAACCTAAAACTTGATAGTATTATGCTAGGATTTTGCCTAACGGCTTTCTTACCTCGCTTCTCTGTGGGATCGATACTTTGGGTTTTAAAAGAAAACTCCATTTTACTTAAAACGATACGTATACTTACGTAGTACCCTTAGTGTGTAAATTATTTTCTAAATTTTATAACATTTCAATTTTACACACCAGCAGCTAAACATAAATTCGGGTCAAAATTTTGGTCATCTTTTGAAAGCTAAATTTCTGTGTAATTACGGGTCGGGTCAAGGTACAGCATGTCATTGACATTGTGTCTGGTTCAGTCATCCCCAACACACCTGCATATAGGATATCTCCAAACAAGCACAAGGAACCTCAATGCCCCGAGCGCAATTCTGATTCTCTTAATTTCAAAGAAGGATGGGTTTGAAAATTCAGTGTTGGAAGATCACCAAATTTAACCTACATGGAGATGGAGATTGGAGATTTCAACAACTACATCATTTTTCAAGGTCTCAAAGTTGGCTGCTCTCTAGAAATCAAATTTTAAAATTACTCAATGAGGGAACCTTAACAACCCGAGAGAATGTCAGAAGCTTTAGTTTTAATTCAATTTATATATCTTGATATATGTTTTAGTTTGTCTATATTTTAGAATGACATGCTTGTAATTAGGAGAGTCTAACCACTATAAATAAAGCCAATTTTGTTTGGACAAGGTATGAAGAGTATCTTGACTGGTTGTAAGAACCTTTTACACATCGTTTCAGATTAATAATTGCATTCAATATCCTAAAATGGCGCCCAAGTGATGATTAGTCATCACTCCTTACAGTTAATGCATTCTTACCTTTTCTGAAATTTTTTATCCAAATTGTTTGCTGTATTCTGGATTTTTTGAAGTGTGAATTTATGTTTTATCTTGTTTTACCTTGTTTCTGGTATAAACTTGAAACCTACAAATTATTTAACCAGCTGGATATCCTCTATAAAGAGTTCAAAATTGAACCAAATATGACATTTCAAAATTCAATATTTATCATTTCTACATAATCACATGGTCCATGATAGCTCAGAAAAAGGGCCAAAACATTAATATTTGAACCTAATCTGACATTTCGCAAGTTTATGGACCTATATTGCTTCTCAAATAGACTAAAAATGTATTTCAGAAGAAACTTAAAATCGATGCATGCAGGGAGAAGAAAGACAGTGGCGCCCCCACCAGTTAACTAATCTTGCGAGGTGGCAAAAATGTTAGTTATGTGGTCAGAAAATAATTAAACAGTTTATCAAGGTGATTTTGGAATATCTATAACAAAGGTGAGTTTGGAATATATATAACACGCTCTATGTCCCCTCATAAAACTCTTCGCCATGTGACTAAAAAAATGATACGGCATACAAGACATGGCCATCAATCAATGCAACCAAATATGCATTAACCTGAATAAAATAAATTTAAAAACAATATTTTAAGCAACAATTTCAAATCTACGCATGTAGCACAGTACCAGGAACCAAAACTTGATTATGAACAGTAGTAGGAATCATCCCTATTGATAATAAGCTTGTAATTCATAAAATCATAAGATCACTCAACTTTTGCTGGTTTCTTCTTTGAATTATTTATAGGACGAATCTTCACGAAGACTTTTTCCAAATCCTGTAGAGGAGAATAACAATATCGTGAGACATAGTGGACTGAACTTAATCTTGCATAAAAAACATTAGCAGTTACGGCATAGCATGTAGTATGCAGCTTCGAACGGTGGCAATTCTAGATGCAGAAAGTAGTGCTGAGCCCAACAGGTTTAGTTTCCCATGGATTTCCTGCTTTCTTTAACGGTAGTAAGGATTGTATTTAAAAGTTAAGTCTATAACTCGAACCACGAAGAATGAAAATATGTATGTATTTATAAAATTGCTTCATGCCAGTCTCCATGCTGCTTTTTTCTATATAAATTTTCCCAAAGAAATGATATGAAAAAAACCATTTAAACTTTAACATTTCTTTACTTAGCAAAAGACTACATACAGAACAGAGAGCTTTACTTATAGAAATGCATAATAGTGATACTCCTAATACCTACCAAGCATCCTATATTACTTCTCAGCTAACTACTCTATATAGCTATTAAGAAGTCCGTTATCCAGCACAAGCATGCAAATAACTGGCCTTTCTTCAGTTATAATTATTTGAAAATATATATATATATATATGAAACTTTTATTATACAGTACCAAGTATGCCTATGTCCTTTTAAAGCATCCAACATTAATTTTACTAGTTCTATCCTTATTCAATTTTCCATCTTCCAATAGATGCTATGATAACACTTAAGAAAGATATTATTTTAGTAGGGCATAATGAATAGAATTCAATAAAGTAATAATTGGTTGAGTTCTGAAGCCTCATGTTTTTCCGATGGAAAAAATATGCTTAACAGATTTAAACAAGAGTAAATCTTCATGGTAATGTCGCTACAAGGATAGAGGCGTTGAAAGGTACCCAATAATTGCAGCATTTCATTAAAGATGCTTTAAGCTTTATTATATTTTCCATTGCCTTACAGATTTTCATTTAAAAAAGAGGTGCGTCACATGCATCTATGAGAAATTAGAACTATAGTTCATAATCAACTATAACAAGTTTACAATGGTAACAACAGAACATAACCATCAATTAGGTGAAAATGTATGGCATTCTTATGTTTTGTGCTTTGATCTTCTAATCAGTACACTTTTTTTTTATTTTTGCATAGGTTTTACCTATTTGCCAACATAAATGAACCAAAAAGGTGAAGCTTAGCTAACTAAAAAAAAATGCATAGTGGCTCATTTGGTTGGTTATGCACATAAAACATATTTTATAAATTGATGATTTCATTTTTACTAATATTGAATCTGAGAAAAAAGGAACTGAAAATTTTAAATTCATATTGATTTGTAACTACATCCAAACAAAAGATAAAAACTGATACTTCTTCAAAACATGTTTCTAATTTCAAGCAACCGATGTGACCCACATGAGCCGCAAATATAAATTAGTAGGTCTTTATGCATTCTGAAAGCCTTTGTAAATTTAAAATCCATATTGATTTTGAACAATATGGAAACTAATAAACTGGATAATTTCTCAAAACATGGTTTCTAATTTCAAAGAACCATATAACCAAATAAATAAATAAGAGTTCAGATACAATTCATCTTCGGATGCAACAATAAATAATAAATAATTTATAAATGAAAATGTGATTGCACTAATCCTGAGGTCTAACAATCCAGAAAAAAAGAGTACAATGAAGGAAGGCCCACCGACAGAAGATCATGAGACCCACCCGTACTACCAAACGAAGCTATCCGAGCCAAAGTCAGCAAGGCAAAGCTGAACAAGTCACCAGGACAAAAAGAAGACTAAATGATCTGAACTCAAATCATTCAGTCAAGAACGAGACAAAGAGGCATCCGAGCCAACCATTACGAGAAAACTAATTTGAGGGATTATCCAGTTCCCAAGCATCTCCAACCATCCCAAAGGCTCCTCATCAGAGGTCAATGATCGACAACTAGACAGACCCATATCAACAAAGCTTAGCCGACCAAGCTGATCTCATCTGGTCGAGCGAATCTCAACTAACCCAAAGCTAATACGCTTTGTCAGATTGAGCCAAAGAACAATCAAACAATAATTTCTTATTTGTAAGAGATTATAAATATCCCAGTACTGACCCCTTTAGAGCAAGGATAAAAATGTAATACCATCATATTGTACCCTCTTCCATATAAATAAGAAGATTATTCGTGAATAAAAACCCGGCTTACTGTTCATTATTGTTCACTTCTCCATCTCTCTCTCTCCCTCTCTTTATTTATGTTCTACTCTTTGGGTGTGCTTTACAGACAAATCAGGATCAACATTCTAAAAGGTGCGGTAAGTGTGAATCATGTAACAAATAAGAAGAGGAGTAGCCCAAGAAGAAGAAACTCACAAAAGAGACATCGACAACATAGAATGCACCAGAGAGTTCGTAACTCAACAGATCCAAGAGTTAAAAGGATTAGATGTTGGACTTCATCCAAGATGCATTGGCCGGGGGAAGAGATCGGCACCCCCTAGAGGAAGGGCCGATGCCTAACGGCCCCCCTTCCCCAACCATGGAAAGAGAAGTCAACTCCCAATATTTCGATAGTGTTAGGTCGGCACCAATCAACTAACATTGGCTCGGGAGTACTGAGGCACCCCAACAGCTCGAGAATGTGTTCTAGACAAATTTCTTAGACCGAGCTCATAGAAAGATTCACGATCCTGACATTGAAGTCCTACAAAAGGAGGACCGATCCGACCGACCACAGCCTCATTTGAGTCGATCATGTGTATGCTAAGGATCACTAACGTACTGAAATGTCATCTTTGATTTACCACGCTGGGGAAGTCGACACTCATTTGGTTCAATGGATTACTAACGAGAGAGAGTAATCACATCGTTCGCCGATTTCAAGCGAATATTTGTAGTCCAATTTGCCAAGCGCCCAAAAGCCATAGTAAAACTCGCAGGCCCTCCTATAGATCCATCTTGGATAGAGAAAGAGCCTTCACTCATTCATCACACATTTCTAGAATGAGATTTTGGAAGTGCAAGACCTAGAACTTATAGGTGCTCATGCCGCCTTAGCACAAGAACCGAAGGAAGGACCTTTTTGATACGTGTTGGACCTATAGCGATCGAATACAGAAACCGAGTTGTTTGAATTGACCAACAACTCCATATCAGCCAAGGAGTATAACTCCAACCCCATTTGCTCTATAGTAGAATACTTCACCCATCGCTCGTAAAAGAGGGGCCCCAAGGCAAAGAGTGGAAACCAAGACTTGGCTTGCATCCTTCCGCCTGCCCTTAATAAGAAGACACTTGGCCACCCAGAGACCACAGGGCGATTGTAGAGGAAGTCAAACCCGAAATCCTGACCAACGACCGTCTTGATACAATGAGCACCCGCTGCCTAAACTAAAAATACCCAAAACAATATTCTTTGTAAGTTTCAATGGACGAGATAGTGGAGGTCATACAAAATAAAGAGTACTTCAAGAGAGCACCCGCGATGAATAATGTCGCTTATCTCAAGGACCCTAAGAAGTATTGTATACCATCGAGATCATGGGTGCAACACGGAGGAGTGTCGGCATCTCTGAGGCCTAATCCAAGAGCTGATCAATGACTAGAAACTAAAGAAGTTTGTGTTGCCAAGAGTGATGAGCCAAAGCTAGGGGAAAGCTCGAGTGGAGGAAATATCAGACAAGCCAGTCCAAGCACAGGAAATTCGCATCATTGGCATAATTCCCGCTATCTTCGGAGGGGGTGGAGATGCATCCCACCAAGCTAGCCTAAAGAGGCTTCGATAAGGAGACTATGCACAGCTGCCCTCATGCTCAAACGCAACTCATATCCTCCCATAGCTTTCATCAACAAAGAATTGCCTCCTAAGGGTAACCCTTACAACGACGCTATCATCGTCACCTCATTAATCAACAACTACTAGATCGATCGCACGATCATAGATACATGCAACTCAGTGAACATCCTGTTCAAGTTAGTGTCCGATAAAATGGGTCTCGACAACGACCGATTGATAGCTACGGTCGACCCATTATGGTTTCTTTGGAGAAAAAATTGAAGCATTGGGAACCATCACTCTGTCAAAGCTGTGAAGTTTCTGGGCGACGAGAAGGTAATCATTATCTAAGACAATCTCAAGCAGTCTCGCACTTGTTACCTCTAGGTGGTCATAAGCATCCAACAAGAACCTCTCAAGCTCGACAACCTGTGAGAATAGGGTCTCATAATCAGTGAGATCACCGATTGAATCCCGACAACCAAAGGTGGCACTGGTAATTTTTTCTAGTAAGTGAAGGTTTTGAAGCAGGATACAAGGAGTCACTGATCGATACCCTCTAGAGCCACCAAAACATTTTTGTGTGGTTTGTCACAAAGATGCCCCAGATACCGATCGATGTCGCCTGTCACCGCCTTGCAAGACTCGGCAGGATCATCTAGGTGATCAACACCATCATCCTCATTTGAGAGTCGACTGCCCTCTACTAGCACTTGGGTTGCTATCACTGGCGCCGCGATCGAATTCTCACCCAAGCCCGCCAGAGCTGTCATCATCTAAGATGAATGTTGAGCCATTTACACCAAGAAACAATATAAAGAAAAAAATAATTAAAAAAATAAAAATAAAAATAAATGAGACCGAGGCTCCGCATACTCAAGAGCCGATCCAACTTAGATGATGTAATCGATATAGAAACCACACTGTGTCAGGGCAAAGCACCATCAGCCTCTTGCGTGACCAATTCGATTAGCAACGCAGCAGAATGTTGGGCTATCGAATCAATGGTCGGGCCGATTGGCTGAACATTCCATCGCTTATTGTCGAGAAATGAATCAGACGACCCCACTTGATACGCCAGGAAGTTGCAGTCGCCTCTCTCTTATTAACGACAGTCTTCTTCTTTTCACATTCTGTGTGGTCCCATCCTTTCGGCTTCCCAAAGACCCAACGAATTAGATCTTTATCGGTGATGTCACAAAGCTGTTAGACACCTTCTCCATCATGACACTCGGAAGCAGAGTGGTTTAATCAAGAGAAGTCTTGGAGCAAATAAGAAATGGGAAGAGTTTCATCGTGCCTTATTTCTAGGAATCAAATGCATGAAAATCAAGAGAATTCAATTACTGAATCATTGATTAATAATAAATACAATCTACTTTTTGTATTAAATCCTCTTATTTCTATTGCAATGTTACTTTCAAGAAGAGAATTGTGAAACTAAATACGTTCATAAAAAATGTGTCAGCACTGATTCTGAGAAGATAAAATTAACCAAAAGGGAAGAGTACAATGAAGGCCCGTCAACAGAAGACCATGAGGCTCACCTGTCCGACCGATCAAAGTTGTTCAAGCTAAATTCAACAAGGCCAAAGCCAACCAAATGATCCGAGCCCGAATAATTCAGTCAAAAACATAACAAAAAAGCTTCCGAGCCAACCATTATAGAAAAGTCAATCTGAGGGAGATCTAGTTTCCAAGCATATCCAACCATCTCGGAGACACCCAGAGGCTCCTTATCAGGGGTCAATGATCGACAGCTATGTCATATAAATCAGTCAACCCATATACACAAAGCTCAACCGATCGAGTTGATCTCATCTGGTTGAACGAATATCAGTCGGCCGAACTGATCATGTTGACCTGAAGCCAATTAAGCTTAGTCGGACTGAGTCAGAGAGCAGCCGGACAACAAGTTAATACATGTAAAATAACAAAAATACACTAGTAAGAATCACTTTAAAGCAGTGAAAAAAATATAATATTATCATATTGTACATCTCTCATATAAATAGGGTTGTCATTTTGTAAATAATCGAATGGATTATTGTTCATTAATATTCCCTCCTCTCTCTCTCTCTCTCACACACACACACGTTCTTTACACTATTTCTTGGGTTGTGATTCACGAACAAATCAATATTCAACAATTTTAATTGTAAACTTATTTAGGATAAGGCATTATTCATACCAGAAACCAACGATACTTTGAATATCCTATGAATCAACTGAACTTCAGTAATTATTAATTATCAGTATTGTTTTTATAAATGTTAAAATTGTGTATCATGCGATGTATTCAGAATTTGTTTACTAATCTGAATCTCTTAATCTTCTAAAATATTCATCTAATGTTTTCAATAGTAACTTTGCTTTGAAAAGTCTTTAAAAACTGGAGCTCATAATTAATATTCTAACAAAAACCTTAGTGGAAACCTTTAGTTGTGATGGTAGAGGCCATAATTGCAAAGAAATTTACAAAATACAATTAGAAACAAAAAAGGAACGCTCCTAAAGGAAGCATTTGAAAACAGGTAAAAATATATGTAAATTAAGAAATGAAAGATTCTGCAATTAAAATGCGCTCTTAAAAATTGAATGTTCTGCTCATTACAGATCAACATGAAATTAACTGCCATTAATTGGCAAGAGATGGATGGCATGCAGATGTATTTTCCGACAGATCAAGAAGTACAATTAATGTGATAGCATCGGGTGTCCATGGAAGCCAAACATGAATATTTAAAAAAATAATAATAAAAAATGTGTTCAACTTCAGCTTTAGGCTCCTTGGCCCAATTATATTGGGTCAGATTTAATAATTCTCGTTTTCTACTCAATCCTACTGCGAGCATGCATGTTAAGTTAAATCAACTGTGTTTGACTCATTTTGCATAGCTTCTATCCATATTACTTTAATAAAATTTCTTTCTACCTACACTTTCAAGATCTAAATAATTTATGAAGCTTTGTACTAACCTTATGCTGGCATTATGGCAACGTGAGGTTATGACATAATAATTTGAAGTCCAAGTTTGCACAAAAAGAAGCCGGTAGTATTTTTTTTAAAATGAGCCATACGTATTTATTGTTTACTAAACATAGGAATTGAATTAAGTGCAGTGGTAACTAACTTGTAGAACTATTAAGAAACATATGAAGTGTCGGACAAAATATATTAAGCATTCAAGTAAAATGCACCATTAACTATGAGACAACAACATTTACAAAAAAGTGCACTGCTATGCTGATGAAACCCCGACGTTGCCATCAAATTCATGTGTTCCCCAGCCCACAAAAAACCAAAAGAAAAAATTCAGGATGTCCAAGATGTACATAACAGAATTCAGTAAAATATTTAATATTATGTGTGCATAGAGTAGCAGCAAATGCTTTAAGCAGCCTGGACTGCAAGCTAGTTCACAGAAAATCAGCAAATATACTTCTAAAACGCAGGCATGAATATGAGTTCCCATCCGACCTGGATAGATGCTTTAGGGGTTCTTTCTTTTGATAAATGGCTTTCCAAGTCATAGTATGCTCTTGCCTTTTCATCTAGGGCATGAACAATCACAGTACCTATTAGAAAAGAAGGTAAAATATTATAATCTGAAAAGAAAAGAGAAATAATAAACAGAAAATAGCCATGCCTAAGCATGAATCTTCAAATATCTAAAAAACTCCAAAAAATAAATGCATATGCCAAATAAATTGGAAAAAAAAAATCCAACATTGTAAAGTGTTATGCACAATAAGATCTACGGATCTACTTAAAAAGAAACCCACCAGAATCAATCACAACCCACTTTCCCCCTACTTGACCTTCTACACCTGGTAGTATCATTCGGTCAGCACCCTTTTGTTTTTGCTTTGCCTGTTGATCAATATCAAGAAGAGGATGAGATTCAGTATAAGCAACAAAAGGGAGATGTGAAGGAACAGGAAGAAAAAAACAATAGAAACAAAACTTGCATCTGAAAGCCAAGAAAATATTTGATGCCCAAAAATAATACATTGGAGACTATTTTTAAAAGAATAAGAGATTAAAGATGATATCCCAGGCTAATTATCAATTCTGATTCCACTTCATTTCAGTTCTTCTAGAGTTATATAAACTATTTCAGGCTTAATGATTCTAAGGACTCCATTACAAAATCATGACGGTGCACGAAAGGCACGAGTGAATTTTGAGAAAACCTTCATATACATAAAAAAAAAGAAGAACATGTAGGTTACCCAGAATACAGCAAAACTGAATCAGTTCCAAATAATATACACACTCAAAATAACAATATTAAATTATGTCAAAAAGAAAGAGATGAAGAAAACTAGCGGGCCACTGAGTGTTCACTTCAACAGTTCATCTGGTGCAACAGGCAGAAATAGGTACCAACTGCAGTTGCCAGGAGGAAGAACAACATCGCATCAAATCCTTTATTGAATGTAAGCCACTTTCAAGATGTGAAGCCTCATAAGGTGCCACTGAAAGGAAGATACTTCATTGGAAGAACTAACAAGAAATGAATCATCACAGGGTCTTGTTGACCTCATTTTTTTTAGTGAGGTCTTAGTCTCCTAATCTTAGAACCTAGGATCTAGCTTTAGGAGTTCTTATTGACTATCCTAGCGGACTAGCAATGGAACCCACCTCTCGTAGAACTTCAAGCCACTTCTTGACTCATTTTTGTGAAGAACTCGCATGAGTGATTCCAAGCACTCAACTTTTAGTTGTAAGGGCTAAGGACCAACATGTAGAGAGCCCGAAATTGAGTTCCTATAGGATCAATAGCCTTAGGTGAACCCTTTGTGACTCGATTACTCGCGAACGCCGCATTTCACGCACTCACTGCATCACACACGATTTTGGCTTAAATCGACTCGCCCAACGGCAAGCTCATTCGGACGACCCCGGATGACGAAACGGACCGCGCCGACGCGTCCGGAACGTCGACTTTAGCTAGAAAGGACACTCATATTGCTGTGGTTCCACACTCGCGCGAACTGCACGGATATCGATGCACTTTTTTTTAGCGGTGTGCGGGCCCGGGCTCAACTCAGGTCCGACGCGAGTTTGATTCAGGCTGGACTCGGGCTGAACGCAGGCTAGGCACCAGCTCACCTAAATTTGAAATTCAAATTTCAAAATTCAAATGGATTATTTAATTTTTGTCTTAATTAAGATTAATTC